TTTTAAATGACGTATGCCCAGTTTTTGGCACATGTCTTCAAATATATTACTTACAAATTGAGGACCATTATCCGATATAACTTTTAGGGGCGCCCCGTATTTTAAAATATATTTATTTAAAATAGAATCGGTAACTAATTTCGCGGAGGCTCGTTTTAAGGGAACAATTTCGGTCCATTTACTAAAATGATCAACCATAACAAGGAGATAGCGACTTTTGTTTTAACTGACTTTTTGGGAAAGGGCCCAATAAATCGATGCCAATTATTTCATTTGGAAATTCGGATTTAATACTATTTAGAAACCCGGCCGGGCGGAAATTAATATAATTAACGGCTTGACATGTTGGGCAGGACTGGACATACGCCCTTGTTAACTTTTGCAGTTCAGGAAAGTAGACTGCCTCGCGTACGCGTTGGATAGTTTTTCGAATACCAGCATGAGAAGCTAAAGGGCTGTCATGGAGCTCTTGCAGGATATTTAATCTAAGACTAGCTGGGATAACAGGTCGAAATTCGTTGTTGGAATTCGTAGTTTTTGTATAAAATAATAGACCATCTATTAGTTCGTAATGGGCCGCCCTATTTCTTATCGCCACAATATCTTGGTGGCTAAAATTTTCAGGATCCTTCAAATACTCATAAATACTTCCAAACTCAGGATCCTTACCCAGTTCGGTTATTACAGTTTCTCGGGAATTTATTGTACACGCTGTCAGCATTGCAACTTTTACGGTATTACCCTGTTCGTCTAATTTAATTCGTGATAGGGCATCTGCTACGATATTTTCCTTTCCGGGGGTATGCTTGATTACCAGATTATATTCTTGCAGCTTGAGTGCCCATCTTATTAACCTTGGGGATAAATTTTTCCCTGAGTACAATCTAGTTACCGCCGCATGATCAGAATATACTGTTATCGGCGCCTTTCCAAAATAGACTCGGAACTTTTGCACTGCTAACAGAACTGCAAGTGCCTCTCTCTCGGTCGCGGAATAGTTTCTTTGTGTTTTGATTTAAAGTTCGGCTAAAAAATGCCACGGGCTGCTGATTTTGCGAAAGTACCGCTCCTACCGCATAATCCGAAGCATCCGCTGAAATTTCTAAATTTTCATCCTTTTCAGGAAATTTCAACACACAGGGGCTTGCGTTAATGCTTGTTTTAATTTTTCGAAAGCACTATTGGCTTCGGCCGTCCACGAGAATCTTGCCTTTTTCCTTTTTAATTTTAACAATGGCTCAGCGATAGCCGCAAAATCTTTTATAAAGGACCTATAATATGAACAAAGTCCTAGAAAAGAAGAGAGCTTCTTTGCCGTGTTTGGAGTCGGATACTTTTGTACAGCGATTATTTTTGATTCATCTGTCTCGATCCCTTTTTGCGATATTTTGTAACCTAAATATTTTAATTCAGGGGCTGCAAATTTGCACTTTTCGACATTAACTTTTAGACCGGCCTCATTTAATAAAGAAAACACCTGTCTTAAATCCTGTACATGTTGGTCGAGATTATCACTAGTAATAATGATATCGTCTAAATAGATAAATGTGGACTTTCCAAGAACAGGTCTTAACACAATGTCCATGCATCGCTGAAATGTTGCTGGGGCGCCTGAAAGGCCAAACGGCATACGCAAAAATGCATAAGTGCCAGACTTGGTTATAAAAGCAGTCTTAGGCACGTCCTCAGGCCTGACCCCTATTTGAAAATAACCATTCGTTAAGTCTAAAGTCGTCATAAATTTGGTTGATTTTATGTTCCTTAAAATTTCTTCTATGAATCGGTAACGGATATACCGGATATTTCGTTATGGAATTTAATTTACGGTAATCAATAGCGAATCTCCACCTTTTTGGATGCTCCAAAGGATAATCATTATTTTTCTTACATAAAACCACCGGGCTAGCATAACTACTTGAGATAGGGCGTTATGATCTTTTTACGTAGCATATCGGTAATATGCCATTCTATAATTTTTTCCTTATTCTTATCATACCGGTATGGTTTTTGACGAACCGGCAATGCATCTCCGGTGTCAATACTATGGTTAGTAACCTGAGTAAATCCTGGAATATCACTAAATAAGGAAGCAAATTCACTTACCACTTGTCGGATTCTATCTTGCTCGTCATTAGGCAGGTGGTCAAGATTTAACCTTGGCGGTTCAACCTTTTCTACACGCACTGGTTTCATCGTCAGCTTAAGGGACGCTTCATTAAAATCCAGTGTAGCTTGTGCGTCTGAAAGAAAGTCTATTCCTAGGATTAAGTGTGCTTGCAAATTCTTTACTATAAAAAACATCACCTTTACTTGTTCGTCCTTGATACGGATGTACAAAGGTACTTTACCTACGCACTTACATTGTTCTCCTTGCGCCGCTAATACTGTTGTATTATCCGCATTATATATGCGGTATTTGCGAAAATACTTTCTAAAAAAGACTTCTGCCACACAGGAACACTGCGCGCCGGTATCCAGGAGTGCGGTGGCCGGGATATTATTTACCAAGACTTCAATCTTCGGAAGAGTTAAATTTTTCACCATTACTGTATTTAACTTGTAGGAAGAGGGGTTTTCGTGGCCTTCGGATTTCCGCACCCTCTCGTCAGCAGAAATCCGTTTTAGTTTAAATTATTTTTCCTTTCGGTGCTTTCCTTCTTTCTCCACTGGCCTTGAGACTTTTTTCCTGGGTTGCTATTGAACTGTCGACGTTCGCCGGCTGTTTTTGAATGCTCGGGTTTCCTTGCCCACTGATTCGCTTTTTCTCCGTAGCCATGTGCTTGAGTTTGCTGTAGTCTTGGCGTACCAAATTGGTTTCGCTGTTGATATTGGCGTCTTCTTTCGACGTCCGCCGTTCTTCTACTTTCAAACTGGATTGCTAGCTCAAATAACTTTTTCCAGTGTAGTCGGATTTCTCAATTCAATAAAGTCTTGCACTTGGGGTAGTAACCTCGGCAAAATCACTTGAATTATTTCAGGATCCGGACGGTTTCCATACAAGAGCTTGAAAACGTGAATTTTTCTTAAAATAAAGCTCGAGAGGTTTTCCATTCTTTGTTGATATATACTGAAAAGTTCTGTTTCTAATTTCGCACGATCCCTTACAACAGGGAAGGCTTTTAGTAGGGCAGTCTTGAAATTTTCGTAAGTATAGGTGGGACTTCCTGCTTGACCCAAGAGACTTCTGCCGATACATTTGAACCAGTTAAGCGCTTGGCCCCTCAAAGCGCTGGTAGCTAAGGTAACTTTTTGAAACTCGTGCACGGGGTAGAGCATGAAGTGGTCATCCAATTTTTCCAAAAAACTGGTTACCTGTGAGTTTCCATTAAACGTTGCTTCTGGTTTCATCGAAGCGCGCATGGTCTGGACGATGTACCCAAATCCTTCCAGGGCGGCAGCTGGCATTTCTGGATTCTGAGCCGTTTCTGCAGGCAGCACAGGTTCTTCTTGAAACTCGGCCATGGTTATTCTTCGTCGGGCGCCACTATCAGGTTCAATGTTTCTTCTAACCTTCTTCGGAAACATACAATGACCTGACTAGAACAGAGAGCTTACTAAAGCTATGTTCACTAATTGTAGTAAGTAGACAGGATACAGACGAAGGGTATACAAAACCCTTTATTTTTCTTTATATACAATGACTTCCGTACTTCGGAATACAATGACCCTCCACTCGGGGTCTAACGTAAAAGATATCAAAATAAAACTAAACTCTAATTTAACTTTAGAATAAGATTGGCCTTATAATAACAGGAAGCGTATGTAGCACAGAGACTGTGAACACTACAATACGTTTAATTTATCAAGAGGATTAAAACCTCTGGCCTGGAAGGCAAAGTAGCAACTGCGTAACTTCTAAGGTAAGCGGCCTGCTTCAAACTCACTGCTTCCTCTCTTTCTGCTTGGCAAAAAGGCCACACTTAAATACTTGGCGTTCGCCAGACAACTTTGCATAAACTCCTTCACGCTTATAATTCTGGCCGGAAGTAGAAAATAAGAAGTGATAGTAAAGATTTAAAATAAAATAAACGTTAGTAAAACTTAAGATCCTTACAATGTGACTACACAAATATGCATGTATCACTATACCTGTTTCGATTAGTGTGCAATGCCAAATTTGTGCAATTCTCAAGTGAAAATAGATCAGGGTCGTGAGGAGAACAAACGCATACAAAAAAGAGAACAATTTCTTTAAAAAGATCATGTTTTATTAGTGATTGTTTTAAAACATTTTATATTAATTGATTGCTCTTATAGGAAATTCCACCATTTTAAAAATAGCTGTTGCATTGCTGGGCAAAAACTTAGTTGGCAAAGTTATCCCAAATGCTGTCCAAAGTCAGCAACAGGTTTATAACATTTTGGTGGGAGTGTGGATGATCAGAAAATATAAAAATTTGTGCTGTAATTTAAAAAATATTTGAACATGAAAATGGAAATATTTATTCAGATATATCCTTTATTATCTACTCCCCCTCCAAAATGTTTTTACAGCTTGCAAATCAGGAATGTCATAAAACAAAATTTGTATCATAGAAATGGTTGGTGTTGTAAATTAGATCTATTTAACATATTTGCATTATATATCTTTTATTATTCTTTATAGTCATATGCTTGCATAACCTTATAATTACATTTTTTTAAAAATTTTTTATATTCTGAGCTGCTGAATTTATTCATTTACTTAAAAGTCCATCTAGTTCATCTTAAAATTTGTGATCTTTGCTGTAAATGCTTAGGTGTAATTATTTTCATTCTTTTTACAGAGCTTAAGATGTGAAGGAAGATGAAATGTAGTACAATTAATAGATTTTTTAAATAGCCTGAATACTAATATTTAATATACTGAATTTTTTTTTTTTTTTTTTTTTTTTTTTTTTGAAAGCCACAGTAGATTATTTAAATATACTGATTACTTATTATAAATTATTTAAATATACTGATTACTTAGTATAAATTATTTAAATATACTGTTTTTTAATATTTATTACCTTTTATAGGTTTGTTGAAAGCCAGCGTTCTCCATCTTCTGATCCAGTAGTGTTATGGATGAATGGTGGTCCTGGTTGTAGTTCTCTTGATGGTTTCCTTAGTGAACTCGGTCCTTTCCATGTGTTAGCTGATGGAAGAACTCTGTATAATAACACTTATTCATGGAATAGAGTATGTGTTTTTTTTTTTTTATTATTATTATTATTCATAAAGTTTTAGTGCTTAAAACCATTATGATTATTTACTGAAGATTTTGGAAAGCTAGAATTGTATTTTTCTAATGTAAATATAAAAATGCATTATTCTTTTGAATTCAGAACATTCTGTGTAATTAATTATTATAAAAAATATTAGGTAATTTCTCTATAAAATATATTTTTGTAAGTATCTGCAAAGGTAAATTGCTGAGCATTTGTATTGTGATGTCCTAAAATCAGTTAGAAAATTTACAGTCGATGTTCATTACATTAGCAAGAAAATAGATACTTGGATATTATCCCATTGATTGTAAATCTCACCAAGCAGTGAGGTTTAGTGCCAGTTGTAGATGTTAAACATGATATAACAACACTGCTACTCAATCGGTATAGTGGTTAGCATCGCTGACTGCCTTGCGGAAGGGCCTGGATTCAAGTCTCGGAGAAGGCATGGGTGTTTGTAAATGTATAGTGTCTGTGCGGCACGGGGCCACTTTAAATATATGATGAGCCAAAAGTCTTCTCAAGAGGGTGGTAGGCGAAGAGGGGTAGGAGACCCTAAGACCTATCCCCCCAAGGTGCTCTCCATCAAAATTGGGAGTGGAACTGAGCTAAATCACAGTGTCACCTGTAAGGTGCTGAAGGCTGTTGCCAATGACAGGCATAAACTTGCGCTCCTTGCCACGAGAGATTTTGTGGGCTTGGGCTGACTATAGGTCAGACAAGTAAGCATTAGAAACAACAACACCACTTCACAACTTGGGCATTTTCATTTTATATAAACGCAGTTGATTCTTAATGAATCTCTCTCTCTCTCTCTCTTTTTTTTTTTTTTTTTTTTTTTTTTGTTGTTGTTGTTGTTGTTGTTGTTGTCTATAAATTAACTTCCATTGTTTCCTGCATTTTTGGAAAAAATATTTAAATTTCAGATCTTTTTTCTACGGAACCACAAGCAAAGAATTATTATAAAATTTATAGGATCCTACTATTAAAAAAATTGTGTGTATTGAAGGACAGGATATGGTCAGCTAAATATGGCCAAAGTTTGTACTCGTAGCATTCTAAACATAGCTTCCAGTGAAATTGGTGGATCTAACAAAATAGTGAAAAGCGACAAACGCTTTTTTATGATGTGCAAAAACAAAATGAGTAGAATACTGATTGTTTATTAAATAAAGCAGCGTTACTTCCTCTAAAATGCTGCTGAAATTATTAGCTCAGCTTAGACAGGAAGGCAGGATCTTTGCTAGCTTTCATGCTTTAATGATAGCCAACTTTCATGCTTAATAGTACCAAATATAGTTATTAAAACATATATTGTAAGGAATTAAAAATAATTCCTTCCATGTGCAGTTATAATTGCAATAGCTGTACAGTCAATGTGGTGGTGGGACTGTACCTGTACTACCATTGGTGAAATTCTGGTGGCCTGCTCACTTATACCTGTACCTGTAATGCAACAGCTTGCATATAAAATCTAGCAGAATGAAGATCCTGTGACTAATTTATTTTTAAGTATAGTGAAGCCTCTTGTGAGTACAGTCTCTGACATCTAGAACTTAAGTACATATCAGTACTGAGCATCGTCTGTCTAGACAACTGAATTGGCAGAAGATCAAAATCATCAGGAAATACTGATGGTCATATTAGACAAGTTCCATTACATTTTTTATACCTAAAACATCTGTTTCTCTGTGTATGTGTAAATTAAATAATGTATCAAAACTAATCATCAGACTTAAGACTGAAAATCATTAATGTAAAGAATTAAAAGACATTCTTACCATGTGCTTTTGTGTTTAGCATGTCAGTCAGGTGATCTGATGCTTAGTTCAGCATTCGAGCACAGTTTATTTTTATGTATTTTTTCATTCCTAAATTTCTCTACCTTTTAAGGAATGTTATTCAGTGTGCATTATAATAAAAATTTCTAGGTAAAATGTATGTTTATCTCTATATCTATGTTTTTTCTGTTACTTGCATTTGATTTCTATTGGTTTGAAACATAAGTAATGGCCATTTTTTTTAATTAAAAAATTTTTATTTCAACAAAACAAAAAACAATAAATTAGTCAATAATATCGGAGTTTTTGGATTTTCCCCATAGACCTAAGATGTCAAACTATAGTCCTTTGGCTACAACCCATTCGTTTGGTTATTCTCAAGTGGTTTGACGCACGTCTTTGTACAGAAGTTCATTCAAATGCTGTTCATCAAACTCATTTGGTCTTCCGAAATGAGTAGCGTCTTCAAGGTCGAAATTTCCATTTTTGATTTTGGCAAACTAATTTCTTGCAGTTCGTTCAGACATTGCACTTTCTCCATACACTTCACAAAACTCTCGGGCAGCTTTTGGAGCATTGGTGCCTCGATTAAACGTAAAAGAAGAAGGTGTCGAAAATGCTTATTTTTGTCAACTTGATACTCCATTTTAATGATCTGAAAAATAACAAAAATTAGTTCAGACAAAGGAATCAAATATGCTATCTTGTTGAGGGAAAAGATTCTCTTTCAAATAACACAAAACATGCCAATACATTTTATTTTTACCATGTAATTTTAAACACAACATAAACAGTCATTACTTATGTTTCAACCCAATATTTGATCAGCATCTGAAATTCATTCAATTTAAGAACTTTTAATACTTAAAACCAGAATTCTTTACTTTCAGTTTTTGAATGAAATTGTCCTAGTATAAAAACTATTGCCAGCCATGCTGTGTTGTATCTAATAATCATGAGTAGAGTAGTAAATTTATCATCTGGGAAAAAAGAGGGAAATTTACAAGGTAAATCATGAAATTTTTATGACCCAGAATTTGCAGTAACTATTTTAGAAAAGTGTCACCATCTAGGATTTACACTAACAATTTCATTAATGAGAAATTATGGTAAAATATTTAATAAAGTTTATACAAAGCAATAATGCAAATAAGAAGTATATAATAATAAGTATTGTATTACAGGTTCCTTAACTTGTCACTACAAATAAGATTAATTTTGGCAGTGTTATCTATGCTGTTACCTGAAGCTAAGATTTCCAAGTGGACAGCATTTTGATAAATTGTACATACACAGATTTTCTTTTATGATGCCTTGTTTATTGCTCTATAAGGCATTATTAAAGAATTGTTATGCATTTGTACTATTGATAATGACTAATCTACTTACTTTTGTAGCTTTGACTGCTTGCTTTAAGTAGCTTAGAAAAGCTATTATTTTTTGTGTTTCAGAATTCTAGGAGAGTTTTCTTAATTAAATTATAATTATTTTATACAAACAAAATAATATATAAATTTGTCTTCAGCATCAAACTTAGGGATGCATTTAAAAAGAAATCTTATCATTTTCTAGCAAAGAACTTAACACTGATTGTGATTAATCTTACTGCGCACTCTAAAGTTTGTGTCTGGTTTGACAAGGTTGAGCATTTCATTTTCGTCATAAATGAATAGAGCTCATTTAGCAATTTAAAATTCAAAGTTCTGGTTTAGAGTCTGAGAAATTTTTTATACTGCAGTTAAATTAATGCCACTTAAATTCTAATGTAATATTATGCTGTTAATTAATTTAATTAATGCAGAAATTAAAATTAATTAAAAATGAAAAATAATCCAATAGTTATAATGACAATTTTACAAAAAGTAGGAAGAAATCTCAAATTTCCAAATATATCTGATAATAGAACAAATTGACATTTGCAAAATCTCAGAAAAATCCCCTGAAATTCATGGAAATATGTACCATGATTGTGTTATTATCTTATTCATGGATAATAAGATCTTAAGAGTTTTTTTAGTTGATTGATTATCAGCAAGATAAAAGTTTCCAGTAAATGTGTCCTAATATCCATAAAGAGGTGGTGTTGCTAGCCCATGGACTATGTTCTTTTATTTGAATATCTCTTTAGATTATACATCATATATACATAAAAGTGAATGTTTCTCATTATTCAGAAAGTCACTGAGAGGTTTTTCATATATTAGCATAACAAGCATGTATCACACCGCAAATATACAAGTTATATCATCATCCAAGTCTGAAGTTAGAATCTTAAAAAATCACTTAGATGGTGCCATTAAAACGCCATTTTTTAATTTGAACCTGTGATAAAATGGCGGAGAAAAGAAATTATTAAAATCACCACCAATTTTACTTCTGCCATTTAAAAAATAAATAACTGACTAAAAGCACAAGCTTGCATACAGTAGCTTTCTTTTTCTATTTAGGATTTTTTTCAGGATAAAAATGTAAGTTAATTACAAAATGAAACTGACCAAAGAACATACAGTTTAGTATATCTAATTAAATATTAATATATTTTACATCAGAATCATATTGTAAATAGTTCAGTAATCTGAATCATTCATTATAAAGTGAATTTTAGTCACTGTGCAGTTCTTTTGAAATAATATTGCTGTGTTGTGTGAAAACTCTTGTTTTTTCACATAAGGATTTCCTTGTTTTTAAAGCCTATTTGTAATGTACTAATTTTTGTCATAAAATTAGTAAAAAATGTCAAGAAATCCTATAATTATTTTATTTTATACTTTTTAGTGCAAATCAAGCTAATAGAAATAAATAGCCTTTAGATTAAAAAATTATTTTGTATATTATCATATTTCAAGGTTGGCAGTTATTTATAATTATTTTCATTTTGTTAACGATTGAGATAAATTAAGTTCTTGCATTATTCTTAGCTATTATATTGTATTTTGTAGCAAAATGTATTAAACTATTCAGTTATACATAGTTAATTTAATCATTAATTCATTACGTTTATTCAGAGAAATTTTTTCATTTGGTCATGGAAAGTCAGAGAAAAGTTTAATTTCAATGAAAACTATGTTATTATCTCCTTACACCAGCCATAAGTAAATCATACACTTTTGTATTTCCTGTGTGGCTTGCTTTGAAACATTTCATTTTCTTTGAATTTGTCTACGTTGTAAATGATGTACTAGATGTTTATCAATCTTTTATTTTTGTTAAATGCTGTCTTTGTTAATGTATTACTACATTTTGATGTGATTTTTCATATAATATGTAACTTTTTTTTCCTTTTATAATTTTTATTTTCTTCTATAATTTTCATTTGTTATATATTTTGTAATTTCTGATATTGCTATTTGTATTTCATTTCTGTTTATTTGATTTTTTGCAATAAAATCCATGCTTTTTATGGATATTTTGTTTCTTTCCTTTCTGTGACAAATTCTTTGATAACTTTTATATTACCATACATTCAGTTATCTGGGTTTGCTTTGATCTGAATTATCCCATACAGTTAAAATTCTGTTTTATTTATATCAGTGTTTATTTGTGTAGTAATATACATGCAAGATTTTGTTTCTAAAAAGTATTATTTTCTAAATTATTTAGTTTACTAAATAATTATATTTACTATATATGTAGATATTTTTGTTCATTGCTTTTAGTATATCATTATGTGTTTTTCTTCCCCAGGTAGCTAATGTATTGTTTTTAGAAGCTCCAGCTGGTGTTGGATTTTCTTATTCTCGGGACCAAAGATATGACACAGATGATGATACAGTTTCATATGATAACTATTTAGCAATACAGCATTTTTTTAAAAAATTTCCCCAATTTAAGAAGAATGATTTCTATATTACGGGTGAAAGTTATGGAGGCATTTATATTCCTACACTCTCGGTGCGTGTCTTGACAGGACCAGCAGATATAAATTTCAAAGTATGAATATTGTCAGAATTTTTATTTACAAAATTAAGAATTAATTCACAAAATTGTATATTCACTGTTTTATAAATGGAAAGTTTATATAAATGCAATAAGAATTTATAATTTTAATGCATTATTACATATGCTAATCTTATTTTGAATGTTTTAGGGCTTTGCAGTTGGAAATGGATATTTAGATGCTGCTAACTTAACTAATTCCATAGTCTTTTTTGCTTATTATCATGGTTTAATTGGACCAAAGTAAGTTTTAATAGACTTGATTTTTTATATGTAATATTATATACCTTACAATGCTTGCTTAATTTTTTCTTAAAACAGCTTATTATATTTGTGTTCCAGTTGTTATACAGTAGTTAACTGGTGCATAATAGAGGATTTCTCCAGTCTTGTAGATATCAAAGTAGCAGTGTGTATTAATAATAAGTTTTTGCTCATTCAAATTGTAAAACTAAGAATAATGGAGTTGTTTCAGTTTGTGATAAAAAATATGGGAAAAGGTTTCTATAATCTATGTTGTTTTGTATTCAGACATTACATAAAGTAAATTAGAAATTTTTTGTCAATTTTGTATACAAAATATTTTTAGTCAGTTTATATTTTGTATGCATAAAATGATCATTCTTAATTATGAATGTATACTTGGAGGTTAGAATTTATTTTTGCATGGTATTTATGGGTAGTTGCATAATATCCCCTCCGCCATGAAAGATAGATACCATAGAAGTTTGTGGAGATCCTGCCAAAGTTGCACCTATCATTCCTGTGGAATTCTGAAGGAACTGATGCCTCTTTATTAAAAAACAAATAGTATTCGGCCCCTTTATTTATTTACATTGTAAAAAGGCTTGTGCTGATTTCTAGTATTTTGTTAGATCCTCCGATTTTACCAGAAGCTCTATTTAGAACACTATGAGTACAGACTTCTCCACAGATAACTTTTCTAATCTGTTACTGTTTTATCAACCATAGATCCCAAATTTTAAACACAATTTCAAAATGCAAAGGAAAAATACTAATATAAATAATGAATGAATATTAAAAAAATAAATAATATAAATAATGAATAATATGCTAATTTATATTTTTTCATAAAAAACATGTAGTGTCTTATTGAGAATGAATCAAGTTTGCATTAAACAAAAGCACAGATGTTATGAGTATGTTGTTATGTCTGGTGCAAGAAAATTATGCATAAATAACCATATAAATGATTCAGTTTGTAGTAGAAATATCAGTTAATAGGAAGAAAAAAATTTTGATCCAGAATTATAAAAACACCATAGCTGTCAATTCTCCTAGTTTTCTATTGCATTACCCAGTCTCCTAGTAGATCATCGATTCTTCTGATTTTCAATTTTTAATCTTTGTTGAGAAAACCTACCAAGGAAAATATTTCATAACAGTAATTGAATTTGTGAAGATTAATTTATTTATTTTTACTAATTAGCCCAGAAGGGCTATTAATTTCATTTTGGCATTTTGTGTTGATTCATTATAAACAGCAAATCACTTTTTAAATTGTTGCCACCAAATGTTAGACACCTGTATTATATTTAAAGAAATTAAATAATGAAGAACCTGTATAAATGTATATGTTTCTCAGATTGTGATAAAACAATGGCACCTAGAGCCATTAAATTTTGAATAATGTACGTCTCTACCCGAATATGGGCATCCTGAAGCCCAAATTTGGAATTTGTTTTAATATCTATTTCATATTTTAGAAAGCATTTATGAGTTTTTTGATTAAGAAACTCAACAATTTCAAAGTGAGCAGTGGCAACACTGTACAGAAAAAGAAAAAAACATTTTTATCTCGAACGCGTGAGACTGTGTATCTGAAATTGTAAAGATACTCTCTTTTAAATATTTTGTGATATTGCTGTTGAAATGAATTTTATGGTTTAAGTGCGAAGAACATGATATTTAATAAATAAAGGATTACACAAAACGCTAAAAAAGCCCCTTTGTGTGTAATATAAAATCTGAGTGCCTTCGATTTTTTTCCCCCCTTAAGTTAAATTTTTAGTTAAAGCTACTTTCCTTGTTTTGCCTACTTGAGGCCACATTGTTACTGTGACTTAATAGAGACTTGATTCTGTGGCATTGAATGCTTCTAGCAATTAGGCTTGTCCCGCTGGCTTGTACGAGCCAGAGCTTTCATGCACATTTACTTTATCCTGTGAGCTGTTAGTCTACATTTTATTTTAAGTTCAGAGTTACTTGTGTAAGTTAATTGCTTCTTTTTCATCTCTCCTGTTTCAACAAAACCTAATGTCTCTACAGTGGTGCCTGAACTAAAAGGTGGTGAGTGATGATTCTTCACCACCAGGATTTGGCGATTGGATCCCCTTAAGCTTCGTTCAGACGGGGGTGTAAAGGGCATAAGTATTTAAAGCAGATCTCCATTGCCATGACAACCAGTCTGTGCAACGTCACAAAATCTGATTTAGGGCTCGTGGCATAGGGTTCAAAGTTTTCAACTTTACGCCGAGTTTGGGATAAGCGTCGACCAATCAGAGTGAAGCTAAATCGAAGCGGCGTTCTACAGAAGATTTCGCTATCACTAAACAAGCAGAGCAAACGCGGGAAATCAATCGAGCAGGAGAACAGCGTGGGAAAGTTGTAGACACATACATGCATGCACAAATGTAGCTTCTCTCATTGGCCATGGCTTACACCCCGTTCCCACAAGTGTGAAAGAATTCCCGTATTTTATGCCTTTATGACTACGCCTCTATGCCCTTTACGCCACCTTCTGAACACAGCCTTAAATCCCAGTCGCCCTTTAAAAGGGATTATATAAGGTATTTCTCCCGCCTTGTTAGCATGTCTTCATGGTGTAGTGGTCAGCACGCTCGACGCATATTCAAGAGGTCCATGGTTCAAGTCCCGGTGAGGGCATTGCTTCTATTTCATCTCTCCTGCTTTGAAAAAAATGAATATCTATACAGAATGACCATCAAACATTTGTAAGCATAGTGAAATATCAATTCCAAATCAATAATTGTAATCATGACAAAATAAATTATTCACTAGGGAAAAAAATCCCCTTCTTCATTAATGTTGAAATCACTTGAAGGTCCTGCCATGTTATGCTTGGTTACAGGTCTAGTAATGTCACTGTCACTAGAGTTGTCCTCACAACCATCAAATCATCCATTCATAAAGTTACCTGCATCATCATTCTCATTCTGATTATATGATAAATTACTGTCCAAAACTTCAGAAAGCACTTCAGTTTCATTCATTTGCTTTCGTTTTCTAAAAGAGGCTATTTCTAAAATCATGGGGAACTTGAAGATAATGACTATTCCAATTACCAAAATGCAATCAGAACCTGTAAATAAGAAAAGAAGAAAAAAAAGGTGGAGGAGCGTTTGACTTTAATATATTTACTACTAACACCTAAATATATACTAAAATAGACTAAGTACTACATGCTAACATAAATACAGTATATCAAAACAGGTGGCATGTAAAGACAGCATGTAGAAAACAGGAATTATCTGTTCCAAATGTGTTACTTTATTTCCTTCTTCATAAAAACTAAACTGACTTATTGAGAATTAAAGCATAATGATGTCACACTTATCTGTTATTCACATTTAATCACACCTCTCAGCAACAGCTTTTATTTGTTCCAAGTCGTAATCTATTATGTACTTTGTGATGGCTTTTAAGTCAATCTCGTTTGTTAAATTTTGACTTCCTTGTATGAAGCAAAGGAAGTATTGTAATTGCAAAAAGTATTTTTTCCAGAAAGCTTTGATAAAGCTACTGCTTTCAGTGATGAAGTAAAATTTTATTATGTCAGTATTTTATACTGTGTCTTGCTCTCTTCTTATTGCAAAGTTCTTCCATTGACTTCTGGTTTATTTCACATTATTTAATTCAGTGAATTGATAGTCATAAAGATACAAATAATGTGTTAAAAAAAGGCAGCATTATTTTTAGAAATATATTAATTTACATTATCTCTGATACACAGTTAGATGATCTGCGATTACGCATTCACCATTTATCACAAATATACATGGGGAACATTCTTTTCCTTGTTGGCACTTAAATTTCATGCTACTTTAATGTGGCAACTGCTATTTCTTCACCAATTTATGATTTCATTTGAGTCAAATTCTCTGTTTTTATGAATTTTGTATCCACGGTCAGAGGGTAAACATTTTTAGGTATTTATTGCATTCACGCTGCACTGAGTTATTAATCAAAACCTAGGACAGAATATAGAAACAGATTGGTAAGAATGAAACATTTGTCTAAACAGTTATAGTAATAGATCTACAACACATGCACAGGTTCCTGCCATAGCTCGTGCAGTGTTATTTATAGGTATAACAGGATTTTTTGGGCATACTCTGGTTATAGAGTTATGACCATGTTGTTGTAAAATTAGACTGACAGTTTGAAGCAAGTTTCAATCCCTTAAAATGGAAAAATGAAAGTTATGCAACTTGGCAAATGTGTTTGAAGGATTGAGCATGGTTATTTTAAAGATGCACGACAATTTAATCAAGTAAATGTTAAAATGTTTGTTTTGAAAGTGTCAAAGCACTTGCTTCTCAAACTAGTAACTGTCTTATAGATCTCAGCGAGAATTGGTAGGTGATAACACCCATTTTAGTAAACTATGATCTATATGAACTGCAATGTATAGAATTTTTAAATATTCTATTCATTTATTCTTTCAGCAAATTATTACTTGTGTTAATTTATTTCTGTCTCTTTTGTAAAAAATTACATAATTCTTGATTTCATTTTTTAAAATTCTATATACATATATATAATTTTATTTTTATTATTTATTTATTTAAGATTATGGAGTCGTCTATCAACTTATTGTTGTAGTGGCATTGCATCTCAAGAGACATGTAATTTTTATAGTCCTCCTTCTATGAAATGCGGTGAAGCCGTAAGTCTCTCAAATTTATAGGAAATTATTTCAAGTAAAATTAGATATTAAATAGAATTTTACGTTATTCTTTTGTTTGGTATAACTTTTTAAGATTTATTAAATTGATATTTGTAAGATTCGTTGCATTGACGTGAATAGCTTTTGATTCTTTAAACAAAAATTCAAGTTTTTAAGATTTTAGCTTAGATAACCAAATATACTGTTGTAAATTTAGGTTACAAGTCATGAACAAATGTTGCCTTTCATAAATTCATGTTTATTCTAACACATTTTAAATGTTTACATTTCATGTTCCATAAGTTACATTTTCTAATCAAAATACATTAATCTATACTATTAAAATCTGTGTGCATCTGTCTGTTTGTTTGTGGCATTATCTCCTCCGGAATGGTGGGGACTTGAATTTCAAGATACCCTAGGATTCCAAAAATTCATTGGAAGACATTTCGACCATTCTAATCTTCATGCGACTTTTATTAATGGAGATATTAGTTAAAAACTCTGAAAATGCTAATTTCCACCTTCCTTTTTCAGAGTGGCAACAGTCTCGCACACTGGAGATAAAAATCTGCTTTATTTCGAGAAGTGTTGCCACTGCTCACTTTCAAATCTTAAAGTTTGTTAATAAAAAATTTCTAAGTTTTACAAAATAGGAAATAAAAGTAGCATTTCCAAGCTTGTTTGACTTCAATCAGCCAATATGTTAATTAAAAACTCTGAAAACACTAATTTTCACCCTCATTTTTCCAAGTTGCAACAGTCTCGCACGTTGGAGATAAAAATGGTTTATTTCGAAAAGTGTTGTTACTGCTCGTTTTCAAATCGTAGATTTTTATTTATTATTATTATTATTATTTTGTTAATTAAAAATTTGTAAGTTTTACAGAATATGAAATAAAAATAACATTGCCAAACATTTTATTATTGTATAAGCTCATATTCTGACATTGAAGAAAGCACACAATTGCATGTGATGTTGTTCATTAATGTCAGCATTTTAAATAAATAGCTGCTGCTGGGAACATTTTTATTTCAGGTCAGTATAATTGACACAATATATTATTGCCACATTAATTCTTTTATTAATATTAAGAAAATGTTGTTATATTACGTCACATTTAAATCATGACGCCACATGTATTAACCTGAAGTGTCAAAAGTTTTTGTTTCCTGGTTTGGCAATAAAAAAATAATTTACGAATTGGTTGTTGCATGGAAAGAATGAACTAATTTCTTTCATATTGAAATGTTTTCATGCATTTGCTTTTCAGGGGTACATATAACTTATAAACTTTGCTTTAGCTGCATCCCTCTAGTAATTTTTATTTCTTGCATTTGCTACACACAAAAAAGAAGAGAAAAACCTTATATTCTGGTAAATTTTGCCACCGTTAAATATTTTGTTAGTAGAAGACAACGTGTTTTATTTACAATATTTTTGCTGTATTATTTAAAGTGTTCAGTAATATTAAATATATAGTAATACAATATTTTTAAATCCCCAAATAAATTTCATTGCATATAAAGTGAAGCCAAATAAAGCAGCAGACAATAAAGATGGTCAAGGTAAAAATTTACTCTTACCAAAAAATTTTTTACTTTTGATTCTTATGTTTTGCAAATTTAAAAATAACTCTCCATATTTTGTTAATAAATACAATAATAATAAAAATGAGATTAAAGAAATTCCACGTGAATAATCCTCAGTAGAAGTTTATTTGGAAATTAAAAGTTAAAAATAACTGCAGCAATTCATTGATGATAGCAACAAAGAGCATAAACCAAATTTACTGTTATCATCATTTATAATAAATATGCTTGAGCTGAGCTGCAGCCTATTTGTATGGCGGGCTTACGTGCTAGTATTTATTAAGTTTAGAAGTCTAAATTTTTCTCATATCCTTTTATACAAATGTGTGCTAATTTAACCCCCCCTCCCCCCCCAAAAAAAATCAGTCATAATTTGCTAGGCACTTTAACTAGAAACATGATATATATGGTGAATTGTCAAAGTTAATGGAAGTGTAACACTATTTACAAAAAGTGCTTCAAATTTATCCAATTGACATCCAAAGACAATTGACTTGATAATTTCTCTTATAAAAAGTATTACTGTCCTCAAAAATCGTATCCTCAATGTGGAAAAAGGAGAAATCTCTCATTTGGCTTCCAGCTAGTGATTCTGTCATGTTGAAAAATGTTATCTTTGTATGAGATAAAAATTAGCTTGCCAAATGGATATTCTTAGAAGCCCATAATTAATTTAGTGTTTAAATAATACCTTATGAACATTTGGCTTCATATCAGTCTCGCTAAGCCTTTTATGGAGCTTCTGCAAACAGCCTACTTGTTGTCAGTAGAAAATAAATTTGGTAGCATTAAGTGTTGGTTGTATAGCCTTCATTTGGCTGTAGTTGTTTAACAATTCTTTTGAATCTTTGCCTTTTGTTCTCAAAATTGAATGACAGAATACAAATTGCCAGTACTTATTCTTTTCAAGTCCATATGAGCTATTTGATGTAATGTGAATTGGTTACTATCACAGTAGAATTCTTTTTGTCATCCAAAAATTTGGCCAGGACATATTGCTTTATGATCAAAGTTAGGCCCGCAAACTGAACTTAAATATTTGTTAAGTTATACTTTTCAGAAACTGATCAGCGCAACTGTTTTTACAGTCATAGCTTCAACTAAAGTGTGTACCCATGAAACAATTTTTTTTCTATCAGAAATAATGAAAACTGGATTATATTTTATTATATTACTTTAATTTTGTATTACTTAATTTTAGAGTTATTTTGCAGATTCTTTCGGTTAGTATAAAAAAACTTTTTCACCATGAATGATTGTTTAGAATTTTAGAGTGTACTTTGTTTGCCAGTGGGGAGCTGAATATTTAGAATTAAAAAAATAATATTCTGAAGTTATAAATATCATTAGTAATTTTGCTATATGAAAAAACAGTATTTACTGTTTCCCAAATTTTTAATCAGAATTGGTTTTTCCTTTATATTGAGATGAATTAAAGGGAGGTTAATCCTGATTTTTTTCAAGCAAATTATAATTGAAGATGAAGCTTATTACTTTGTTTATGATCCTGATGCAAAATATTGTTACAGAATACAGTGTACGATAGTGTGTTTTAATATGCAATGTTTGTCAATAATTTTGAATTAAATTTATAATTTCATGTAATTACATGTTTTTATTGTTTTTCAGATCCAAGAAGTTACAGAAATTGTTGATGGCTCTGGTCTGAATATATACAATTTATATGCAGACTGTGAAACGAGTTCAGAGAGAATTTCAAGATATGCAGTTGATAAAAGAAACATTCTTCGCCATTTTCCAAAACCAAATTATGTATGTAAAAAATTTTTTAAAATCAGAAATTCTGACAGTATTTGTGAATTTTAAATTTAAGTTGAGACATGTGCATCTGCCCTATCTGTGTATGTCTGCACTTAGTTTTTAATAGCAGCTGTGCATATTATTAATATGTGAAGAATGTCATTGTAATGAGCTGGAATAGTGGTTCCCAAACTTTTCCAAGTCACAGTGCCTTTTTACAACTGAATTTTTTTTATGGTGCCCAACCCTTAGTAAAAGTATGATTAGTCATGAGTAAGAGATAAATAAAACTCATATCTTCATTCTCTAACTTTTTTTTACTTTATTAACATTAAATTAATAATTAATATGATGGATGACTTTGCAAATCATAGCATGTTTTCTCAAATTGTGTTCTACAGTTGCTTTTTATTACAGCAACCATTGAAAACCCAGCTTTGCGCAAACGCTATGTCAAAAATATGATTAAAAACCTCTGAGCCTTATCACTTAGAAAGTGATATTCATCTCTTATTGAAATCTAAAATTCTATCTATTCTGTGCTGCCAGATTTTTCTTTCTGAGAAAAGTCATGTTCATTTGACATAAAAAATTGCTACACTATTAAAAAACAATCTTTACCTCAACTTTATTCAATTTTCTTCTCCATGTTTTGACTTTTTTTAATCAAAGACTTTTTGGGGGGGGTTATTGCTGGTTTTTTTGGGGGGGGGACGTTAAAAGTTGTTTATGCAAAGAGAAATTAAGAGACTTCAGCTTTAAAAAATATTGCACCGATTTTTAGTCAAATTGGCATCTGTGTATCCTTCCTCTTTAAGGAAAATAAAATATTCTTGCCGCAGTTCAAAGGTACATAATAAAACATTACCATGAAAGAGAAGTCGTGCACTGCTGTAGTAAAACAAAGATAATGTTCTGCTCCCATATCTTTGCACAATTTTTAAAAAAACCTTACGATCAGTACACGAGATTTTATAAAACTTACCAAATTCACCACAACATTCTAACACCTGATGCAGTGCAGGACTCGGATGCTTTAATGCGAGTTCTTCCCTTTGAATAATGCTGCAATGGCTCCACAGTGCATTTGGTGATTAAGTGCTTGTAATCCTCCATAGCAGCCGGACATGGACTCAGCTTCATCATTACAGACACCAACGCACTTAGGTCAATTCAAATTACTTTCAGGTGTGAATGTATCAAGCATCTCGAACAGGTTCTGAACTGTCACTCTCCCAATGATATTTTTACAAAACAGGTCTTCTTTATTATTATTATTACCACCTATAAGCCATAAATAACATATCAAATTAACATCCTTATTATTATCTGTAGTCTGATCTAGCTGCAATCCAAATTCCATGCCTGTAATTTTTCAGTAATAATTAATTTATCCTTGATATCCTCCGCCTTGTATTCTTGCACTAATTGTGTTATTGGACAAAGGCACATTTAAAAGCAGCTTTCCAGCAGACTCACCAACAGTGATGTTCACCAAATGTACAGCAGCCAGTAGAATAAGTTTTTCTGAGATGATATAAGGCTTTTTGCATTTTGGGATTAAGCCACCTTGTAAGATGCTAGCAAAGCATTGTTCAGTATTGATGCAATTTTGAAAAATGTATATTTTGTTGTTTCAGTTCTTTTAACGTCCTAGGAAAACTATCACGAAGTTTGCGAGCCATGCTGTGGTGATTAGCTTCTAAATGACACTTCAGTTTACTTGGAAGCATACACTTCACTGCCAAATCTTTCATACACAATAAGCATTGTGGTTTCTCTTTACCATTCATTTATGTTGGCGTAAAACCAAACTCTAAATAACTGCCATCATATTTACAATATCTTCATTTCTTTGCAGTCATGCCACTGGTTGAAGACATATTTTCTTTATCTGTACTATTAGGTTGATTACTGTTCAAAAATCAGTCCATCATCAAAGATACAAGAGTAAAAAATTACAAAACTATTTGTCAAAGATAACAAACAAGATGTAATATAACACTAACTACACTACATGAACTAATTCATATGAAGCGCTGAGTTTAATTTCTCTAGATTTAGATTATAAACCAACTGGCAGAAGTGAGCTGGCAACACTTTCTTATATGCTTTCTACAAGATCTTTCAGAACAGTCCAAATCTGTCACGAAGGTTTTATATGCCTCGATGTATCTATACTACCAGTCAATCTTAGTTAAGGAACAGAGAATATACAGTATTAAGTCCATAATCCGGACTCGTCGAGACTTCGGCGATTCCAAATTAAGGATTTTTTCGGATCATCAATTTAAATCTGGTAAGATGGCATGCAGAAATTATACAATTAAAAATATGAAACCATAATTTATGAAATAAAGAGCAATTATGATCTAAAGGGTATCAAAATTTACAAAAAAAAAAAAAAGCTTAATATTTGTTTACTTTATTAAACATTTCTTTCAATGTAAGTTGTTTAAGTTGCTTCTTTTTTGGTGCTAAATGCGCATGCGCATGCGTAAACATTAAACGTGCATGCGTAACATTAAACGCACATGCGTAAGTTTGTGGCTTTGAGGTCTGGATTGTAGATCATTCCAGATAATGGACGTTTGGAGTACAGACTTTGTACTGTAGTAAAAAGTGCATGCGTCTGCTGGAAAATACAGTTCTACCATCTCGAGATGTCATATTGTGAAATCTATGCAATAAAATATAAATATTATTGAGCAAAGAGAAAGGAAGGGAAAAAAGTGTGAAATGATACATTACATTGCATCCAGATTTTTATTTAAAAATTTGATAATACCATAACAATCATTTGATGACCAATTGGAAGACATCCCCTTTTTTGGCATTATTAAGGAAACTATAGAGCAAACCCAACCTCACCTCAACTCTTGATGAAAAAGTAACTATTTATTCATTCACTGACTGGGAGGAGAAGGAAGCAATTGTTATAGCATCTGCCAAAACCTCATAAAGCTGGAAAAACGCTATGCAGTTTCTCCAAGATTTTCATTATGAATGTTTTTGTTGAATTATTGAAGCATTTTCTTTATAAAACCAGTAATGAAATTATTGCTTTTACTGCTGATTTTACTGACATTACTGTGACAAACATAAATTATATGAAATCTGACCTGAAAGTAAATGGTGGATTTTTGACACTGGGAAAAAAATACCTTTAAAAGTTGGTACTTGCAAATCCGAATCAAATGGCATGATGCAATTATTTAGCAATAATATGAAGAAAAGTTCACAGTTTCTTTCTACAGGAAAAGGTTGTTCTAGCCTTGTACGTGTTCTCAGGTTAGATTGTCATGAGATGTAACATGATCAAGAAGCTGCAGCATTGCCAGCTCTTGTTTGCAAGAATAATCTGTGCCGCCTACTTTAGTTGTATGCAGCGCTAAGTAAAGACAAACCACACCAAAAAACTAGATATCTTTAGCTACTAACTTTTTTGTGAGATTTGCTTTTTTGCTTAGTTAGGCCAAATGTCTTGATTCAATTAATTATGAAGTTTTTACTGTATTTTGCGGCACCTCTGTGAAGAGACTATGGTTCCGTTGGGTGCTTCATCACACAGTTTGGGAGCCACTGTGCTAGAATGATATTAGATAACTCCATTACAATAACTAGGCAGCACATTTATTTTTAGGGTAAGTTTCTATGCTGTCAGTTTTTAATTGTTGTATTTATCATGTTGAACCAAAAGTTTATCTTTCCTTTATTGGGATTTTAAATAATGTGAAGTTCTTTCTATAAAATATCCATACATTTGCATAAGTTTTATAGTTAAATAAAGTTAAACATAATAAAAGAATTAGGATGTGAATTATTACAATGTGTAAAAAATTTTGTTTAGATAGAGCAGTGGAGCTATTTGATATGTTTAAAATGTTACAGGAAAGAATTTCTTATATAATCAATATAGTCCATTTCGAAATACTTTCATTATGCAGGACACTGTTTCCTACATGCTAATGTGGGTCCTTCAAACCATTTCTTCTTGATCAGAATGATGGCTTCCAGATTGCAGAATTGGCTCTTTCAGAATTTTGTATCTCATTAAATAAAAACTGATAGACTTCAAAGTACCATCTAAAGATTGTGTGTGTCCTTTCTTGAAGGTGGCATGGCTCTCATGTATTCATAGGCTGAAGCAGGTAGTTCTATTGTAGAGCTCTACATCTCCATGTCTTTGCACTCCATTGAACTCCATGTCTTTTATTGGCTGGAAAGTCATTATCAAATGACAATATAGCTTTCAGTGGTAAGGCTTTCTTTATTAGATATTTTTTTATGTAGGATTCAGGGATTTCCAGTGTCCATTTTTTATACAAAAATTTGAAGCTTGGATGAGTGTTTATAAAAAATAATTAACAGCAGCATTGATGATAGTGTCATCTATCAATTATTATCTCAAAACATATCCAAACCAACATTTGAGAAACTTTCTGATAGAAATTATAATGATATTAATTAGGAATTCCTTATTATTGCTGAATTGAGGAAGATGTTCCACATGTTAAGATTAGCAGCGCAGGCCTGGCTGGATAATTTTCAGAAATGTTACAAATAAATGACCTTTTATGTAACAGCAATCCATTATTAAGGAATTTTTTGTAATAATATAATAAATAATTTTTGAATAATATCACATAAAAGTTTACATTTTTATGTTTCTGACATATTTCCATTAAATCAGTTAAATTGCATTTCTTTCTTTCTTTTTTTTTTTTTTTTAAAGGGAAATCTTTTCCCCTGTTGCATAATCTACTATAAACAGTATGAAAATTATGGGGAAATTTTCAGTTTCATGGCTTGTGAATCAAGCAAAATAAAATTACATTTAAGCTATTAGATATTTGAGGCAATAAAAGTGCAGAAAGTTTTGTAAAATAACTTCTTCAAAACTCAAGCTCTATAATCTATTTAAACATGAGCATGTGCATTTTATTTATTTACAAATTAAAGGAAGAATTAAATAAAGAAAGGAGTTTAGCCTCTTACTAAAAAATTCTTTGTTGTCATTTTGACAGGCTGAATTAAAATCAGCCAAATTTTAATACATTTTTGTATAAAAAATAGCTCAGTATATAAAATTTAGAATTATTTCTCACCAACAAGCATTAAAGCATTATATATTTTGATATATATTGTTTTTATAAGCATATGCATTATATTAAAGAAGGCATGTTAATTAAAAGTAATGTAATGTTTTCAGTGTTACTTATAGCATAAGTACATAGAAATATATTCATAAAACTGCACACATAAATGGTCTTTTATGTAACATGTGCAACCAGTTAGCATCAGTAAACAAAATTTATAAGTAACATTAATTTGAAACAAACTGTATACAAATTCTATAGTGCTGAGAATTATTAGAAGGTATATAAGTACATTAGTGTGCCATATCTTGCAGCTTTTTCATTCTCTGAAGGTCTCACATTAGTAGCATTCTGTGATGTCAGATTCCTTTTGGTTGTCTTTCTTTCTCATTTATTCTTTGTGGGTGCATTTGCCTGTTTAGTTTTTGGTACCTTTCATGATAAAACTGAAGTTTTTTTCCCATTTTTCTCACCAGTTCCAGAATCCCTATCGTATATTTCAAGTTCTTTGAATATTTCTTCTTTTTCATATTCATTTTTACTTAAGCATAAATTATGTAATTTCTTTGTTTATAAGATCTCTTTAAGAAGCTGTATTTATTTGCATTCTTGAAAAATACTGAAATAATATTTCCTTCTATTTTATGCATTCCCTGTCTTGTTATTGATCATGTAATGAAACTTGTTGGTGTTTTCAAGGTCATTTATATCTAAATGGAACATTACTAACCAGAAACTAAGGAGAGGAGATGCAGAGTACTTATTTACATAACAACATTTTTGCAAAACTATTTTGAACATTTCTGCATGCTTTCCGTAGTGCCATCAAAATGACTGTGCTAGACTGAATAGGTTCACAACACATTTTTTTCCTCTTTTTCATAACTGAACAAAGTTTTGTAAGTGTGTGTGCGTATATCATGTAAAGTTATGAAAAATCATAAAACATCAGCAGCCTGACCACAAAAATAAGAGACAAAGCTCTCAAAAGTTAATCTGAAATCATCAAAATAACGGTAGTTTAGTGGTTTTTAGTGGACGGCATGGTAGTACAATTTTTTTAATATAAGAAAAATGTCTCTTAGGTTCACTATTTAAATATACAAGGAACTGAAATAAGATAACACTCCTTAAAATTTTTTTATTGCATTACTTTGAAACTGAGAACATTGTTAGAGCTAAGAACAACACGTTTAATTTAAAGATATCCAGTAGGCAACAGTGTGAGTTGAATTAAATAGCTTTTTATCTTTATTCCATTGCCTCTAAATGAATTCACAGAAATAAAATTCAAGTAAAGTTGATTCTTATTTATTAGTCAGAAGTATCAAACTGGCATTTATAATCGTGCTGTAGAAAATTATTTGACTTAACTCTGTCCTGTAATCGAAAAGACTTTTACTAATTATATATAACCAGAACAAAAAATTCAAGTATTTTTTAATAGTCATTTTCAGATGAGTTTCTTTTTCCTTATTCTTTTTGAGTAATTTGCTGATTTTTATTTTTATTTTTTTTTTTTTTTTTTTTTTTTTTTTTTTTAAGGGATTCTTACTAATCAAATAATTTACAGGCAAATTGTGAAAAGTTTTATTTTCAAAAAAAAAAGGGGGGGAGGAGGGGAAAGAAAGAAAGTATTTTCTTAAATGCATCTAATCACTATGTTTCTACTCAAATTTTAAAATTTATACTTTAATAATAACTTCATTTTCTTGAATGCATAGAATAGGTATGATGATGAACTTATTTTTGAATATGTTTGCTGTATGCCAGTTTGTGTAATATGGAAGTGACTGGTATTCCCCCTTCTCATTTGAAGATGAATTCCATGAATTATAGTTAAAATCCATTTCTTCAAACTAATTATGCTGGAACAGTCGTAGATATTTCATCATCAGACATGTTTTCATAAAAAATAGGATTGTCTCATTTTTTAGCATCATCATTTGTTACTTTTTAGCTCATTCAAAATAATATAAGCCATAAATTTTCTTTTTTAAGCTTACTTTTTAATTTGCGTTTACTAAATTAAATAATGTACATCTATTAACTACAGAAATAAAAATTAAGTTTTCATGATAATAATGAGATAGTAGTACTTAGTGACTTTGCTTTTGCGATTTTTGGTGGCAGAATTGTGCAGTTCTTTACAAAAGGAGATGTATTGCAATTAAAAAAAAAAAAAAAATTATTATTATTATTTTACTTGTCTAATTTATTTGACCTTTTACATACTTGCATTTAGTGATGTATTAACAACAGTGAATGCAGGTATCTTCACAGGGTGAGATTACACTGCCTGCTAGATGTGTATTTAGTATACTAGAATTACTTGTTTTCTTATAAAATATATAATTACTTTTCAGTAATGCAGAATAAAAAAGTCAATTTTTAAGACATAGAAATGACTGGTTTGGGGGCCAATTCAGTCTTGCCTCATTGTTTAAATAAGGTTTTACTGTATATTAATATAACCTAAATGGTAGCAGTCGTTTCATTTGCTGATACTTAAGTGTTATTATTTATTGATGTAATCAAGAAAAAATTATTTTAAATTCTGAAATAATATTTCCTTCTATTCTATACATTCCCTGTCTCCCCGCAATAGGTCTCCCCACAATGGATCTTGAAATATTTATAGTCTCCCCACAATGGATCTTCAAATATTTATTATATATTTCAGCTGTATCATGTGTTTAATATTATATTTATTAATATTATGGTTTGGTTTATTTAATTATGGCAAAGCACACTAGGGCTATCTGCCTAAGAGGAGGGATGCCTTTGTGGAGGACTTTCTAAGGGAAACTGGCTCATATACATGTTACACATGGGGAAAACCATGAAAATGCCCATGCAGCCAGCCCGTTCGCGGGATTCGAACCTCGGACCGAACTACCAGTGTTCAGCGACTTTACCGCTCGGCCGCTGGTGGGCTATTAATATTATGACAATTTCAATTATATTTTTCTATAATATTGATGCAAGCTTTCAATTTGTACAATAATTACAGAATTTGTTGCATTTTGTCTATTAAGTTATTTATAAAATAAAAATGAAATTGTAAAGTAGCAGAAAGTTATTTTTTAAATTATAAACTTTTTCAAAATTTCAATTTTTAAATTCAATTTAAGCAAAGCTTTTATAAATTTTATACACTAGTCAGTAAACGCTGAAAATGTATTCTATAATATGTGTATCATTTAAAAAATTGTTTTGAGTGCTAGTGTGAGTAATATGGGGAAAATGCTAAAAAGAACATTTTTTCCAACAAAAAATTTTTCCATTGAGTTTTTTTTTTTTTTTTTTTTTTTTCTGTTTGTTTATAGACATACAAATTCAGAGATGATCCACCGTGCATTGATTCTTCTAATGTACGTAAATGGTTAAATCAGCCATCAGTTCGTGAGGCTCTTCATATTCCTTCAAATGTTCAACCATGGGAAGTTTGTAGGTTTGTATAGTTAGATTTTTTGTAATTTTTATAAATTATAGGAAATAATTGTAAATTATGAAATTTTTTGCCCATATGTATTAAAAATAAATTCAATGATTAACATGTCTAAGAAGCAAAATCTTCAATTATAAACTTTCTTTTATTTTTTCTACAAAATTTCTTAACTTCTCCAAGTGTGGTATAGCAAATTTAAATTTATGCTAACTATGTTTTATAAATGTAGCTATATACAGGGTGATTATAATTAAAGTTTAAGTTTCAAAACGCTATAAAAAAAGAACCACTGATGAAAATGATGTGAAATTTGAAAGGAATGTTATTGAAGAAGGCGGAAAGCGTATGGCAGAAGAAAAAATTTAGTTTCAAAAGTTAGCAACAGATGGCGCTGTAAGCGGCAGAATCACGACGAGAAACGATTCGTAAAACAATGGCTAAGGTAGAAGGTACACATTAAAACGCATTGAGAAATTAGAATTGTTGAATAATTTTATTTGCATGACTGTACGTATCACATCGAAAGGGACAAATCGGTTTCAAGAGTTTTGCGGCGACATACCCGCATAAGAACCATTCATCAAAGAAGTTCGGAACTGTCGCGAGACTGGCACAAAACATGTTCAATATGGTATCCACTGTTGTGTGCAACAAGTTGAAAGCGACAAACAGCATGTTCCGCAACGGATCGCAGTGTCTCCGGGGTGATGTTCAGAATGTGTTGCGAAATGCGTGCCTTTAATTCCGCTAAATCTGCAATTAGAGCACGGAACACAACATCCTTCAGATATCCCCACAGCCAGAAATCACACGGAGTAAGATCAGGCGATCGGGACAGCCAGGCTGTAGGGAAATGACGGCTGATAATTCGAGCATTTCCAAAATGGCGCCTCAGCAGCTGCTTCACGGGATGTGCAATGTGCGGAGGAACGCCATCTTGCATAAAAATGATTTCATCCACACATCCACGCTGTTGCAGAGCTGGAATCACGTGGTTGCGCAAAAGAGACGCATAACCTCTGACCAGTGACGGTTGCGGTAACAGGACCGGAAGCAGCCCGTCTGCTTCGAAAAAATATGATTTTAGGATGAATGATGTCCGTAAAGCCGCACACACATGCCGTGACCTTTTCAGGATGAAGTGGTACGGGGTGCGTTGCCAGTGGATTTTCTGTTGCCCATATTCGAACAATTCTGGGTATTCACGTACCCTGTCAGATGGAAATGGGCTTTATCTGTCCACAAAATTTTCCACGGCCATTCATTATCCACTTCCATGCGAGCCAGGAATTCTAACGCAAACGTCTCCCTTAGCTGTCCAGGTCAGGCGGAAGCAACTCCTGCACATGGCCAAATTTTGTACGGATAGCATTGCAGGATGTTTTGTACAATTTTCAGCACCGTGCTCGTAGGCCTGTCCAATGTTCGGGCAATTCCTCGTGCACTGCACGGTTGCACACCACCGGCCGACCCCTCCTGTAATGCTGTGGCCACTTCTTCAACTACCGTCGAATGCACTCGTTTTCTCCCTCTACCAGATTGCACATCAAACGAACCTGTCGTTTTCAAATTTTTGCATCATTTTCTTTAGATCCACAGACACTCATTGGACCAACGCCTTCTTTTATACCCTTCAGTGTACCTGAATTTTTGCAGAGCTACTCTTGCACAATCATCATTCTTGTAATACAGCTTTATTAGCAGAGCGCGGTCCTGCAGTGAAAACACCCATGGCGAACGTCTGAGACGCGAAATGATGAACAGCCTGGTACCTGGCAGGCTTTTATAACACTGAAATTTAACTAACATTTTAATTTACGTCTTCTTCCGCTTGCAGCTCCATCTGTTGCTAACTTTTGAAACTAAATTTTTTCTTCTGCCATACGCTTTCCGCCTTCTTCAATAACATTCCTTTCAAATTTGACGTCATTTTCATGAGTGGTTCTTTTTTTATAGCGTTTTGAAACTTAAACTTTAATTATAATCACCCTGTATATATTGTAGCTATATTATACAGTCAAAAGTCGTTAATCCGGACTCGTCGGGACTTCAGCGATTCCGGATTATCGATTTTTCCGGATTATAGATCATCAGTTTAAATCTGGTAAAATGGCATGCAGAAATTATAAAATTAAAAATATGAAACCTTAATTTACGAAATAAAGAACAATTATGATCTAAACTGTATCAAAATTTACAAAGAGAAAAAGCTTAATATTTATTTGTTTACTTTATTAAACATTTCTTTCAATGTAAGTTATTTAAGTTGCTTCATTTCATGTGATAATACTTTCTCTTTAATTCTATTAAACAGACATAATTTCTTGTTTAGTTATAAAGTTCCGCTGTTCAAGTCGTATAATTGCTGTGTCGAGAATATCGACTAATTTGTCAATCGAAATTTTTTCGTTTTCTATAACCTCTGTCACTTTCTTCGCTATCGGAAGCGAAGTATAATGACGAGGCATTTGATTTAAATCATATCAAAGATGGAGTACATCGAGATGAAATACTACATTGAGTAAGCAATTATAAGCCAAATAAAATAAAAACATCTGCCCTTAAGATAAGGATAATGCTGACAGATCAACTTCCAGTTCATTGCGCGCGCAACATTCCCCCCCCCTCCCACACACACACGCAGAGCAGCGCGAAATTGATAAACAGATTTTAGAATGGTTAGATAAACAAATAAATTATCCTTTATCCATTTTTTGCAGCAATTCCACTTTTTGTTTAATGTCCTTCAAAACATACTTTCGCTTTGTAGATCCTTTACATATTAGTAAATATATATCAGAAATTCTATTTGACATAATCGAAAGTTCAAGCTTTCTTTTATAAAATTGCTCTAACAGTCTGCAAAAAATAATAAGCCGGATCCAATTCGAAGATTAAGGAACATCGCAATCTGCAACATTAACTGAATTAGATAATTTTAGCTTAGCTTATACTGTCTTTTTATACATTAAACGCGCATTCGTAAACATATTTTGCGCACACGCATATTCGCAGCCGTAAAGGTCTTACGCGCATGCGTCAATGAGACGCATGCGCAGAAAATTTGTAGCTTTGAGGTCTGGATTATGGGTGTCCGAATTAACGACTTTTGACTCTATTTTATAAATTTTAGGCTTTTCTTGGATATTGTTACTAGTGGAAAATATCCTTTTAATACATTGATTTGATTCTACTGTGATAATTTTATTCGATACTAGAAGGCTGCAATGAAGGGACCATCTGAAATCCATCAGATTATTAGGCATAACCGTTTTAAGGTAGAGATTAGATTTTGGAAAATAACCTGGCTTCATATTCATTGTGCTGTCTCTTTTCTTTATAGCACAAGATTTTTTTAAAAAAATCATTAATTGTAACTAAAAGCTGGATTTAAATATTTTTTGCATTTATTGTTAATTTGCGATCAGACCGAATTTCTGGCTTTTTTTACCTTTTCCATTACACGAAAGTGACTATTCTTGCTAGATTCCAAATTCTTTCTTTGAATCTATGCAGGTACTTCATAAATTGGTTTTATCCATTTTATTCAAATGATTATTTTTAAGACTGGAGGGCTATCAGCTGCATTAATCATTTTAAGGGTTCAGGTGTCTGAACCAAAACTTCATCTTTTCTTCCCATGTTAGTTCATAGTATATCTTTGCCAAAATTTGGTGTTTATTTTGAGCTGATTCTGTAGCTCATTTTTCATAGATCCACATAGCATAGCCTATGAAGCTGTATAAAAATTTCTTTTACTTAGAATCCAAGTTAATTTGAGATAAAGCAAAGGTAATCTGACAAAACTTGCCAAAGAAAATTAGTGTAATGTTAAAAAAATTGTGATGTGAATTCCTAGGTACAACAGAAATTTTTTGATGACACTGAAATCTGATAATACAGTCAAAAGTCTTTAATCCGGACTCGTCGGGACTTTGTCGATTCCGGACTATCAGTTTTTCCGCATTATAGATCATCAACTTAAATGTGGCAAGATGGCATGCAAAAATTATAAAATTAAAAATATGAAACCGTAATTGATGAAATAAAGAACAATTATGATCTAAAGGGTATCAAAATTTATGAAAAAAAAAGCTTCATATTTATTTGTTTACTGTGTTAAACATTTCTTTCAACGCGCACATGCGTAAAGCATACATTATGCATAGTCGAAATTAGAAAATTGAAACCAGAAAACTATTTGATGTGTATTCATGATATTTATAATGACGAGGAATTTGATTTAAAACATATCAAAGACAGAGTACGTCGAGATGAAATACTACATTCAGTAAGGAGTTATAAGCCGAATAAAATAAAAACATCTGCCCTGAAGATAAGGATAGTGCTGACAGATCAACTTCCAGTTCATTGCGTGTCCCGCCCCCTCCCGGGAATGGTTAGAGAAACAACGAATGTTGTTTAATATATAATATGGAAATGCCTTTATCCATGTTTTGCAGCAAATTCCACTTTTTGTTTGATGAACATCGAAGCATGCTTTCGCTTTGTAGATCCTTTGGCAGCTCCAGAATCGGAAATTCTTTTTGACGTAATCGAAAGTTCAAGCTTACTTTTATAAAATTGCTCTAGCAGGCTGCAAAAATTAATAAGCTGGATCCAATTAGAAGATTAAGGAACAACGCAATCTACAACATTAACTGAAATAGATAATTAGATAATTTTAGCTCAGCTTATGCCGTCCATTATACACTAAACGCACATGCGTAAAGGTATTATGCGCATGCGTAAACGCATATGCGCAGAAAGTTTGTGGCTTTTGAGGTCCGGATTAAAGACTTTTGACTGTATAAGTTGTTATTTTAATGTTTTGGAATAATTAAGTCTTTTTTAATTTTTATTTATTTATTTTATTTTTTATAGTTTAGAAGTCGAAATGGGATACAGGAGAATTTATAACACAATGCGACCTCAGGTTTTACAACTGATAAAGTCTGGAAGACTAAGAGGGCTGATTTATAATGGTGATGTAGATATGGCATGCAATTTCTTAGGAGATGAATGGTTTACCTATGGTCTAGGACTCAAAGTGAGTTTGATATAAATTTGGTTACGGTAAAAATTGAATGTGTTGACTTCAAATTAACAAACTTCCTGATATTAAAAGTTCTTCTGAAACATACAGCTTGAAATTCATGTTGTAATTCATCATAATTTTGTCGTTTCTCAGTTTAATTAAATGAAAGAATTGGAAATTTACCACTATATATTTAATATTTTGAAATGATGTAGAAATTTTAAATTTTTAACATTGAAAACCTCAAGCTTTTTTCAATGAATAATAATACAAATAAAATGACATAATATGAAAAATCATTATCCTTGCCATAACATGCTTCCATCCTTTAAAAAAATTGTGTGTTTCATAAATATATTTTAATTTTCCATAAATTTTTTGGGGGGTAGCCCCCCTTTTTTTTAAGAGAAATAGAACAACAGCAAAAATAATTGTCTTTATTGACACTGTATATTTGGCCATTCACATTTTGCCATATGAACAAATTTTTATTTATTTGGTGGGGGTTTTTATATTAAATTATGGTGAATTTTAACAGAATACAGTATGTTTTATGCTTGGTATTTGGTCAGTAGCTTACTTTTGAATGCCATTTCAATGGCTCAGATTTAATTCCTATATCCAACTTTGAACTTAACGAGTAAATCAAATTTTGAAATGTTCTGCAATAATGGAAAGAGCACATTTTGCAGTCTGGCATTGCTAGAATTGTGTCAAGTTAAATTTATTCTATGTCAAATAATATAAATCTGAAATTTAAAAGCAATATATTTACTGAAAAAAGGATGTTTTAAATAAAGCTGTGTTAATCAAGAAATTCTTTTAGCCCACCTCTGCAAATTATGGAATTTTAATTTTTTTTTATAACTAGTTTCTTTTGCTTTTATTTAAAATATATATTTTATTCTCTTAAAAAAGCTAATCAGAATGCATTTCATCATATTACATTGCTAGATAAATTTCAGATTTATAATACAGCTTGTAATGCTTGAGAGACAGATCAGTTATTCAAATTTTAAACACAGTACTATATGGCAATATTTTGAAAATTACAATGAACAGTACATAAAAAATAATGATACTTAACGTATTATATTGTCTCAACCGTGAAAGTTGGCAGAAATTCCATCACTTCTTCGTACCGAATTTTGAACTTCTGTCTCCATTAAATAGCCACTGCTGCAAAAGTATTCGACCCACTTCATAAAAAGGCCTACCTTAGTTTCTGTTGTTTTGTTGGGCTTTCTAATATTATTAGAAGCTTTGTTTAGAATGATACAAACCTCTCACAGGTTATTATTCCCGTTCACTACTGTTTTGTTGGCCATATCCAGTAGTTCTTTTCCCCATTTAACAGATGTTAATAGCTCAACCACCTGTAAATGAACCATTCAATCACAAATATAATTCTTCAGCCTTCAAACTCCGTTTTTGAAAATGCAAGAAAAGAATGCAGCAATAACAGTTAATTAATATTTCTTCATAAAATTAAGTGGATTATCAAGAATCAGTCTGGGTTACATCAAACAAGAGCACAGATGTTACAAGTGTGTTTAAACATCACCCTTATCCGTAACTGGTAAATCATGCTGCAAGTACTAAAATAACAGTAAAACAATTCACATTATTCATCAAAGAAATGATAAATTAAAGTCAAAACTAATGTTTGAATAGAATTCGCTTGGCAAATACATTAGTTTTGCTATTATTTTGATGATGCTTGAATAACATAATTGGAGTCTTAGTCTATATATAGTTTTGTACAAATAGTGTCAGATGTAAAAATTATGTCTCTGACAGAATTTTTTTTTTTGGGGGGGGGAGTGACTGATATGCTTTTTGACTACATTAAATGTGCTGTGAATATTCTTTTAGGCTCCTATTTAAGAACTGTATAACTTACCTAACCTGTGTAACTTAACTCCTACGTAACTTTTATACTCCTGTAAGTTCCTTTTATTTTTGTAATGCATCATCGCTCTAAAATAATGATGTATTATTTATATTTATGTCTTCTTTAATATTGTTGATTTATTTGTAACTTCAGGTAGTAATTTATTGAATGCATGGAAAATTCAGTATTTATAAAATCTGATATTGTGATGCTTCTAGTAGTCAAACTACTTTGTTCTGTAGGTGACGAAAGATTATGAAATTTGGAAATTCAATGATCAAGTGGCTGGTTTTGTAAAATCATATGGCAACCTAACCTTTTTAACCGTAAAAGTAAGTTTGTGTATTTTATACAGTTTTTTACAATTTAATCATCTTTGTGTATTCATATGCATTTCAAAACTGATAGTTATTTTAAATTTTACATAATTACTGTAGAAATTGATTTCAAATTATAATATCATATTTTTATTATATTTTGTATTAAAATACCATATGTTTATGAAAACTATGTGCAGGTTTTTTTAATATATATATATATATATATATATATATATATATATATATTTTAATCTGAAAAATCAAGGTACGCGAAGCAAAACAGCATAGGCCAGATAAATGCAAGTCGGCATAATTTTTTATTTATTTTTTTAAGCTATGGTATCCCCAGAAAATATAATGTTATATGATGCTACTGTACCCTCTCAAATAATAAATCTTGGCTAGGGATTTGTAGAGGATATACCGGTACTTTCACCAAAATATTATTCTTTGAAAGGTTTTTGCCGAACTTGGCTTCTTGGCCATAACATTGGTAGCTGGGTTCATAGCACTGGAGCTCAGCTGATAAGGAAGAAGGAATTTCGGTATACAAACCAGTTCCAAGACAAAAGTGGGAGAGGGTGGTTTTTTTTTTTTTTTTTTTCTTGTGATTTTAGAGCCAGTGTCTGCTTGCAGGTGGCTGAAGTTGCAGAGCTTGGAGAAAAAAACTGATAATGCGAAGAAAAGCAAAACATGTGTTTCTTCATTGTCTGTATCGGTACTGTAAAAGAACATATGATAGTTTGATTGGAAACTGGAAATAAAGGAACACAAAATGAAACTTCTTAAGCAATCAAGATGATTTGAACATTTTGCCATATTTGGGCTTGATGAAAATATGCATGCCATATTCACAGACATTTTTTACTTTTTTTGGTGCATCGAAAAAAATCGAGTGCGCGTCTTATTCTGTGGCACGTGATATTTGTTAACATATGGTATACGTAGTGCTCTATGTTACAGTTTTTTAAATTGTCCAATCAAAAGAAAATTTGCATTACATTAATTTATTTGACATATAAAGAAGCCATAATGTTGTAATCTACACAGCCCTGTTTTGCCACTGTCCGGTAAAATTTATGAATATCTTAGCATTAGAATTTTTAGTATCAATTATGTTTCAGAACTGTGGTTTTAAAACATAAACTGTGAGATAAAAAGGAGGGAGCGAATACTCATTGGGAGAGCAATGAATGATAGTTTATAACACATTTCTTTGTTATAACTTAAAAGAAGACACATTAGTGCCAATAATTAGGCATGACGAACAGCAGTTTATTAATGATACTATACACGCATAATTACAAAAGCGATTAATTTTCATTACATTACAACATTTGCATATGTTACTCCTGTGAGGAGTCCAAGTTTAATGGAATGTTCATTTTGTCATATGACCTGTAAAAAAAACTTAAAGTTTATGTTTGGATTTGCTCTGTTTGAATAAATGATGCACAGCATTTGTTATGCTCTTCCCCTCAAGTTGTATGATTCGTCCCCAATTTACGGCTTGCTGTTGGTGGCTGCTTTCTGGTAGTGATGCCATGTCCATCGGGTTTAGAGACTTTTCTTGGTTGACCTGTTCTTCGAATTGGGAGTGGGGAAGTAGAGTCTTGTCCATCACATGGCCATAGGGCAGATACATGGTAGTTACTTATGAGAGAAAAAGGATCATGAGTAGCAGAGGTTAATGCAAATTGTTCCATACACTTCATGGTACAGTATTTTATGATGAACACTCTTCTCTTTTCATGACTCTTTAATATAGGTCCAAATAGTAAAACTTCAAATTATTGATTCAGTAAAGATTCAAATTATTGGTTATATATCTTTGTTTGCAATAGTCCAGATGACTTCTGATTACTGGGCTTTCAACAATTACAATCATGGTAATTTTGGATATAATCAATAATATATCTGTGCATACCAGTCAGTAGTGCGACCTTCCAGGTCTGTAATATGTTCCTTCGATTTCATAATGGCCAGCTTATGGAGCATCATGATGCTTTTATAATACTCTTTCTCATTCATAAAATGGGACTGCTAACTGGGCTTCCTTTGTGTCTGCATCAAGCAAATATCTATCGAAAGCACCTTGGTGCATGAGATAACTTCAGCCATTCCTAGTAAAATTCTCATCTTTATTGGAACTTCCAGATTCAATTATTTTTGTCTTTCAGTTGTTCTTGTGAAATTTCTCTTTGGTTTCATGCAGGTGAATTGATAGTAACAGTGCAAATCTCACTTAGTTTTGTTGACAGAACAGTTGGGACAATATATCCACAACAATGTTAGCTGCTGGCTAGTAATGGAAAATAAAGCCTATTTATATGGTATATTTACTACAGCTGTATGATTTATGATCATCTTATTCACAATCTCTTGATATATGCTCATGTTTTTCACATATGTAACATGTTTTCACATGGTTTTTGCAATCTCGAGAGCGATGTGACTTGTGACATGGGATTTACTACCCATATTAATATAACAGACTTTGAGAGTCAGTTCTTCCTCTAGTTGAAAGATATCGGAACTGGGCAGATGTTTTTCTTCACTTCCCCTTGACATAAATGTGCTAAATTTTGCCTTTATTTAAATGATCTGATAATTTTTTAATGGCTAAAGCTAAACTTCTGTTTAGGGTTGTCATAGTAATATTACCTATTATTCGGAAGGTCTAAAGCAGTTCCAGTGCTATATAAAAAATATAAAAAATTAGTTTCTAAAAGCATTCTGTTATCTTTTGCTGTAGGTAATGCAAATAAAGTTATTTGGAAGGATTGCCCTTCAGTCTCAGTTTCTACTTGGGTCATATAAACTTTTGTTTCCTTCTAGAGACCATTGGTGAGGGTATTTATTCATGTTCATTCTATTTTCTCAAATTCTATTCCTCGTTCTCTCTACGCGATATAATGTTTCTTCCGCTGTATCGTGGCTGGATGCAGTGTCAGAACACACAATTTACTCTCAAAAATTCCTTGGCAGAGATTGTCTGAAGGTGTTATCTTCCAGAGGCATAGCTAGGGTTTTCAGCGTCTGGAGACAACTGAAGAATTTCCACCCCTTTCTGTGTGCCAATAATAGAAAACATTTCATTTCAGAAATCCGTAACATAAATTTTGCGCCCCCCTGGATGCTGTGTCCAGGGACAGATGTCCCCGCTTGCCCCACCCTAGCTATGCCACTGGAATCGTCTTATAATATTTTAAAAAAAAAAAGAAAGTGATGCATAGTCAGTTTTTAATAAGTATGTATAAATAGTCATCAATGAAAGAAATCCTGTAAAAACTGGAATTCAGTGGCGTTTTGTCCTGCCTTTCCTGAAAACATCTTGTATGGGTCTCGATAAATTTGTTACATATTCCCTTAGAAATTTCTGCAAATATTCTTGCAAATTTGTTGTGTGGTGTTTTTAATTGGATTCAAGTGCTGACTGAATTTTCTGATCTGAAAAGAATTTCTTAGTTTGTGCTCCAACAAAAAATATTTTGTTTTACATATTTCAGAAAATGTATTTCTTAGACATGCAAACCCTAGGCCGTTTATTTACATTACCTTAACAGAGTCAATTCTGTTTAATTTGTTAGACTGTTCAGTGTTCTTTCTCCCCCCCCCCCTCAGAAAATCCATGAATTGCTTTCTTGGTGACTAGACTATTTTGGAATTAATGGTGCTCATCATAGCTAATGTTTTGCATGTAATAAATTTTCTGCCACTGTTGCTGTACTTGCAGAAGGAAACAGAATATTTGTATTGTTTTCTATTTCACAAATATTTCCCCTTTCTGTCAGTTGTAGAAGAACTTTATCAGATGTAGAATAATTTTCATTCTTTTTTCACAATAGCAACATAACAATAGATTGGTGTCAGACTTTTACCTAAAAATAGGATGAGCCAATCAACTGATATTAAAATATCTTAATATCTTATATTTTATGAACAAAATTAAAAGTGGTCAGTTAACAAATTTAAATTAAAGCTACATACTCAAACTATTATTTTTAATAAATATGTAGGTAAGATATTTTTTTATCACATCACAAAGTAAAATTCTAATTCATTTATTTATTTTTTTTTTATTTTATAGGAAAAAATTATGATTTTAAATTAATATACACATTTCTTTCACAGGGTTCAGGACATATGGTGCCACAAGATAAGCCTGGTCCCGCTTTTAAAATGATATCCAGTTTTCTAAGTAATAAGCCTTACTAAATATTGGACTTCATTTAAAATAAGTGAAGCCAAAGACATCAGGAAAAAAAATAGTCGGCTATTTCTTTTATCTTATTGATTAGCAGATCAAATTCTATGAACAAATTATCAGTGCTTAAAGGAAAATAATTTTTAGCTCATAGAATAATTAAAAGCTGCAATGAAAAATTTTCAGTAGATTATTTTTATTGCTTTTGTGTCCCTTATATTTAAACTATGCATTATTTATGTAACTTAATTTTATTTATAATAAAAGATTAAAATGATAAGTATAATATGGTGTCTATGTAAACATTAATATTCATATATAAAGTGACTGATATATAAAATGCATGAATTACTGGACTGATATATGAAATATATACAAATAGATAAAGGTATTTTATAATGTCTAAACGTTAATCCAAAGTAAGCATCAGATTTATTGCTAGCTGCAGTTTAATTACAATAATTACATAAAAATACAATAAAACAAATACTTCTAGACACTAAGGGAACATTATTAACACAACACATTAATCATTTTAAAATATACAAATGCAATTTCAGGAATTAAAAACTCACTAAAAGATTCTAAATATCAAAAACTTCACAGCAAGGTTACCAGAAATCTAAAGAAGCTGCTTTAGTATTATATACAGTGCAAAGTCCGTAATTCGGACGTCCATTATCCAGAATGATCTATAATCCGGACCTTAAAGCCACAAGCTTACAAACTTTATGCATGCGTGCGTTGAAAGAAATGTTTAATGAAGTAAAAAAATAAATATTAAGCTCTTTTTTTTTTTTTTTTTTTTTTTTTTTTTGTAAAATTTTATACCCTTTAGATCATAATTGCTTTTTATTTCATAAATTTCGGTTTCATATTTTTAATAGTATAATTTCTGCATGCCATCCTACCAGATTTAAATTGATGATCTATAATCCGGAATCGCCAAAGTCCTGACAAGTTCGGATTACGGACTTTGTACTGTATATATTCCTAGGTTTGCGATATGGCCCAAATGTTACAAAGACGTTTTCACTGGTTCGTGCCATCTGTTGACGATTATTGCAACTAACATTTTTTATTATTCTATTCTTCTTCCTTCTCAATTAAGTAAGTGTACTGGCTCTGGTTTCATTCGAGTTATTACTTTAAGCTACATATAACACCAAACAGAGATAATTATTGTTTAACCATTTCAGTGCTTATGATTGAAAAATCTTTTGAATAGATTTGAATGAGGTATCAGTCATACAAATTGAGTTAATTTTTGTGCTTACTCTTATTAGTAAAAGAATATGAAAAGAAATGTGCTAAGGTAAAATTGAAAATTACCAATGTATAAAATTTTGTGTTATATTAAATGTTTTTAAATTATAAATTAAAAAATATTCATTACCACATACAGAAAAGTGTACTTTGCCGAATACATGTACTATTTCCATATTAAATATGTACTAAAAAAGGAAGAGCTCATAAGAAATTTGCTATTATTATGGCAAAATGCACACAGGCTGTATGCCTGTGGTAGGGGATGCCTCTGTGTAGTAATTTTTAAGAGAGACGGGTCATATTAATGTTACACATGGCAGAAAACTCTCATCTAACCAGCCATCAGGATTTGAATCTGATTCAAATTTCAGTTTTAACACTTGTTCACTGGTGAACTGAAGAGCTGTTGAAATTAGTTTAATGAGATGTTATGTGTTGAACAATATATTAAAGAAAATAGAAGTTTTGGTACTAGTAAACATAAAAGGTGTGTTGTATTATAGATTTAAGTATTTGGTAAATGAGTTAAATTTATCTACATGCCATTATGAAATATTATGAATATAATATAAAAATATCAATCAGGAAAGAAATGTAATCTAAATGTAAAGCATTAGGATCATCTGCTGTTAATACCAGTACTGCTGAAAAATGTTATAAAAATTATAAATGAGATGTATTATAAATCACGTAAACTCACCATTTCTCTTTACAAATAACTCACCATTTCTCTTTACAAATAATTTCATTCAAGACTGAAACTAGATTGGAAAATAAGCATTGGATACTTAAGCATTAAATACTTAAGATTATTCTGTATCAAGGCATTAGAAAAATTTTCTAACTAGAGTTATGATGCAAAAGTTTATAAAATTTATCATTTAAATATCAATTGCATGAACACAACAGTACACAAATTCTACACGCATGAATACAATACAATATATGCAATAAAAACAAATATATGGTGTGGGTTTAAAAAGAATGTATAAGCAAGAAATTAAAAATCCCAAGATATGAATACAAGGAAGTTAGATTTCTTTTTTATTATCAAAATATTGCAGATGCTCATAATTTTCAGTTATTAATTAAATGTGTCAAAGTATATCGATTAGAGAAGTAATTGGAAAGCAAAATGAAAGTTTAAATGCTTCTAATGGTCAAATGTGGAGTCTAAGAACGTTAAATAACCTCAATGATTAAAAATGGAAAATTTAATAAGACATATATTACAATCATCGTGATGTGAATTTAGTATTGTTTAATAAAACGAATTTTTAGATTTAGTGAAGAGAAATTTTTTAATTAAATTAGTTACTTAAAATGGTAAATTTGAAAGCTAAAGACATTTTACTCTCTAAGATTTGTTAACATTTATCTAGAACAGGAAACTAATTTAAGCTGCGTTACAAGTTAATGTTAGTATCTTCTCTCAAGTCAGTTTTTGAGGACCATTAAAAGTTCTGGCTTATTATTCTTTTAAACATTATAAAACTATATTATGAGCTTAAAATGATTCATTTTTTAGAACATACCATATTTTTATTTAATATATTTGGGTACTCTCCCATTATGTGCCTGCTATGTTTTTTGACGCCTGTGAAGGAGAAGCCAAAACTCATACCAAGACCTAATGATATTGCCATCAGGGACCCAAACCATGTTGAAGTGTCTCATATGTTGTTTCTAAGAATTATTTATCTTTTGTAAACTGTTATCAAGTTCTCTAATCTATTTAAGCGGTTGAAAGTTTAAAAAAAAAAAGTGTGATCTCTATAATTGGTGCCAAGAACATCAAAACTGAAGTGAATACCAATGGTTCTATGTTCTGTTTACTAATGAGTCAAGGTTTAGTTTAACAGGTGATTCTAAACGTGTTTATATCTAGAGGGAATCGGGAACATAAAATTTTCTTTCGAAAATTGGTCAACATTATCATTTTGGTAATGCATGTGGTATGGGAAGGAATAATTGCCACTACAGGTTTTCAGTAGCGAATCTACGATAGGCTACATGTATTGGGATGAAGTCTTAGAACCTTATACAGTCAAAAGTCGTTAATTTGGACACCCATAATCCAGAATGATCTATAATCCGGAACTCAAAGCTACAAACTTTCTGCGCATGCGTCGCATGCGCATAGGCGTTTACTCGTGCGCGTAAGACCTTTACGGCTGAGAATATGCGTGTGCGCATGCGCATAATATGTTTACGCAAGCGCGCTTAATGTATAATGGACGGTATAAGCTAAGCTAAAATTATCTAATTCAGTTAATGTTGCAGATTGCATTGTTCCTTAATCTTCGAATTGGATCCGGCTTATTATTTTTTGCAGACTGTTAGAGCAATTTTATAAAAGTAAGCTTGAACTTTCGATTATGTCAAATAGAATTTCCGATATATATTTACTAATATGTAAAGGATCTACAAAAACGAAAGTATTTTTGAAATCCATTAAACAGAAAGTGGAATTGCTGCAGAAAATGGATAAAGGCATATCCTTTGATTATCTAATCATTCGGAAATATGTTTATCAATTTCACGCTGCTCTGCGGGGGGAGGGAAACGACGTGGCGCGCAATGAATTGGAAGTTGATCTGTCAGCACTATCCTTATCCAGGGCAGATGTTTTTATTTTATTTGGCTTATAATTCCTTACTAAATGTAGTATTTCATCTCGATGTACTCCGTCTTTGATATGATTTAAATCAAGTTCCTCGTCAATATAATTCGCTTCCAATAGTGAAGAAAGTGACACAGAGGTTATTGAAAGCAAAAAAATTTCGATTGCCAAATTAGTTGGTATTCTCGACACAGCAATTATATATGACTTGAACAGCGGACCTTTGTAACTAAACAAGAAATTATGTCTGTTTAATAGAATTAAAGAGAAAGTATTATCACATGAAACGAAGTAACTTAAACAACTTACATCGAAAGAAATGTTTAATAAAGTAAACAAATAAATATTAAGCTTTTTCTTTTTGTAAATTTTGATACCCTTTAAATCATAATTGTTGATTATTTCATAAATTACGATTTCATATTTTTAATTTTATAATTTCTGCATGCCATCTTACCAGATTTAAACTGATGATCTATAATCCGGAATCGCCGAAGTCCCGACGAGTCCGGATTAACGACTTTTGACTGCATAAGATTTTCAGGGGTGCCTATAGATCCAACTTTTTATTTAGGAAAGATAATGTTCATCCACGTCGAGCAAGCTTATGTGAAAGCTTTGGCAGAATTCTGTATTCTCTCGACTTGCCTGGAAGAATATATCCTGTAAATAAGAAAAAAAAAATCCTTTATAGAGCCTGGATTTCAAAGATAGAAAGTTTAATAGCAGAATATTAGTGAATTTTTGAATTGCATCTTACCTTGGTAAGAGAAAAAGCAACATGAAAACTAGACTTTAATAGCTTTAAATTGTAAAACTTATCTACTGAAGACTTACTAATCTGAAGGAATGTTATTTTTGTGTTCCATTAAATTTCTTTAGTTCTTGTGTAGGCAGATGTTTTGAAATCGTCATTTTATTTCCCCAGCTGAAGAGGAGCTATATTCTAGCGAATTATGTCATCTTATTCTTATTGCTTATTATTAGTTTCTTTAATATTTGTCCTTTGACATTTTTTTCATTATAAAGCGATGCATATTTTATTCAAAACAATTTTTGACGGTTTTCGTATTGCTTTAGAATACATTAGACAATATTTCAAGGGGATTTTTGAGCTCAAGGTGCGCATGTGAACTTGACAGTTTCATTAAAGGCAACTAAAATAAAGGCACTCTCTCTTTTCGAGACCAAATTGAATATGTTAGATGTCTCACTTTTTTATTAATTATTTTTTATTATTATTAGGTTAAGTTGAGTGTAGACTCAAATACTTTTTAAAAACAGGATAGATAAAGTAGACAGATGTCTTGTTTTGCACCAGTAGTGGAACATAATTTAATGTTTTTATATAATTATTAAGATTTCCTAATTGGCAACAAGTAGTTGTGTTA